CCCAATTAATGAGGTGGTAAACAGCATCAACCAATCAATTCTCTTTAAACTCTTCTCTCTCATTTCAAAATTATTTGTCACCTCATTAAAAGTGCAATTATGGGTGATAAAATGAGAGAATGTAACAACATGCTTTTTAACTAAACAAAATATGGAATAAATCACAATCTCTTATTTATTTTTAATTTTTTTTCTCTTATAACTTACTAAATCATTTATTTTCTTTTATTTCCTAAGTTACTAAACATAGTATAAAAGATATATTTATAATTTATCCTTTAAAGTTTTTTAGACTTTCATTATATAATTATAAATATTTAATTAGTTGTATTTATATATATATATATATATATATATATGTAGGTATAATTTACCAAATAAATCATATAATATAAATGATAAATGATGTAAATTATTAAAATAAATTTAATTTTTTATGTAAATCCAATATTGACTCATCAATGACGGTCGGTCACAATAGGTTACTGTTCCGGACAAAAAAATAAATAAAAATAAAAAATAAAAAAACTCTATTGAACTTGAAGAACATCCAGTATTGGTTTGGCATGATGGGTTGGGTTGGGTTGGGGTTAAAATAGTTACAAAAAGATTAAACAGACTTTTTAATCTCGGGTTAAAAAATGTCACATTCAAATTATAATTATTTCATTTTTTCTCTCACAAAAATCAAAATAGATAAAAAGTCTATCTTAAATATGGCTTTTTAGCCCTAGTCTAAAATAACTAAAAAGTCAAAAGGTCAACCCACATCCCCAACGAATAGGAACAATTAATATTTATACATTGCAGGAGCAACATTACATATATATTTCGAGGAGTAATGCTATGTATCATGAAAAAAATATCATGAAAATGATCCTGAAAGATTCTCCACCGTTAGATTATACATACAAGAAAACACCACACACTAATCAAATGATGAAAAATCTTCACGAAACATTTCGTGATATTTTTTTTCATGATCCCTAGTATTATTCTGTTTCGAGAAGTCAAATACATCATAATAATTACATAGAATGTAAGTAAGTTTATCATTATCTTTCTTGAAGTACAATATTTTTTATTTAGCACAGCAAAGTCTTATCGTTATATTTGAAATTGTCATATTTTTCTTCTCAAGTTGAATAAATAGGTATTACTGGCAAAAGTTTAAGGGATGGCTCAAGGGGGTTGGACACTATGTAGTTAGACACATTCTTAGATAAAATTTCTTTTCACCACATAATCACCCATCTAAAAAATTTTAGGTGAATAAGCCTGAATTCCCAGAATTTCCCTATAATGTTTGGCTGAAGAAGAGGGCAGTACATTCCTTCTCCTCCATTCCACCACATACCACTTCTATAATGACTCTGTATGTTGCTTCCTTTTTGAGATCTCTAATGGTGTACTCATGCATGCTATAGTGACCCCGGCCTTCTCCCATTTGATTATTGTATCCGGACTTAGGTTCCGTAGGTTGCTTCCTTTTTGAGATCTCTAATGGTGTACTCATGCATGCATAGGACCACAAATGAATAGAATCGTTCATAAGCGGATTCAAACTCGGCTTGGTAAGGGCTCATTCGAACTCAATTTGTTAATTATTTATTTTTATTTTTATTTTTTGCATTTAAGCTCAAGTTGGAGCTTGTTAATATCTTAATAAATAAGTCCAAATATATTAAAACTCAGCTTGTCAGTTCGGCTCGTTTAATATTTATTATTTATATATTAAATAATACATAAATATGTATGTTATTTATATATTTAAAAAATGTAAATGTAAAAAATAGCTAACTATAGATAATATATTTATATAATAGTAATGGTAGATAGTATTATGTTTGTAAAATATTGACTTTTCTTTTAGTATGTTTATAGATATTGTATATATAATTGTACAATCAAAATTTTAATTGTAACTTTAATCTCCAATGCAAATATGCATTTATAATTTTTTTTTCTTTTTATTAAGACTCGTAAATAGGCTCAAATTTGAGTCAAGCCTAAGCCAACTTGACTCGAGCTCGATTCGTTAAATTTTTATTGAGTTCGAACTTGATTCAAACTCGTTAAAACTTTTACCTAACTTTTGTGGCTGGACAGGGGTTTCTTGTGGCCGATGTAGGCAAAGTGTCACAGGTTTGAGCCTTCGTGACAAGGGTCTCCAATTGAACCTTTACAAACAAGTTTTCTTGCCTTACCTATGTGAGATAAGCACATTTCACAATGTGTAAAAAACTCACCAAATACCATTTCTATGAAACTCCATTGTGTGTTGAATTTTCATTCATTCGTAAATGATTTTTGAAAAACTAAATATACGATATTATTAACTGCATGGCATAAAAAATATTACCGCTCAAACCCGCCGAAAAATAATGCAAGGGTCGTACCTTAAATTTATTGGCTAAAAATAAAGTTTTTACAAATCATTTCCAACAATCCCCTCACGTGAATGGAATTCACTATATAAGACATACAACGAAATGCAAATAAAGAAAGAGTACACTAAGCAGATACACCACATCAATATAGGTAATTTTTGGTTTTGAACTTTCGTTAGTGAAAGCCTATCAAACTTATTGTCTAATCAATGGACAACACTTGGTAATTAATAAGTGCTCTAAAAAATTTAACATTCTCAATTCTTGCAAAACCAACCTTCATACTCATATAAGTGATTTCTTATTAAAAATTTCCTAATACACCCCATCTAGATGTCCAAAACATAAAAATCATTAAAAGCAAAACATATTCTACAAACACTGCTGTCATTGGCCCTTTTTTTTTAAAAAAAAACACTCAAAAAAAATAAAAATAAATTAGTAAATAAAAAACTTCATTGATGAACATCATTGAAAGATTTACATAGACAAGCATCAATAAAAGGAAAGTGCAAAAGCATCAATGCAAGCAAATTCATACCAGCTAGTTTGCCACCGTACAATCATCTACTAGCGCTACCCACAAGTTAGTGAGTAATCAACCAACAAGAGAAATAAATAAAATAATATACATACAAAGATAAGATAAATAGGTACTCTTCTTATCACAGAAATGGATATGTGTGAATCTTCTTAGTGATATGGGAAATCATCTACAATATTTTAGGATCATTTTAGAATATGCACCATAGAAAAGGTGTATATTATAACAAAATCACTTTCCGTTATAACTACAAAAAAATAATGAGCAATAACCAAATACACATAAAATATAATCAAAAATCTTTTCGAATATAACTAAAATAATAATCATAATATGTCATAACTAATATAATTAACACTATAGTGAGTCATAATAAAGGATTAATTAACACCATAATAAATTATAACAAAAAAAAAAAACTATAAATATCATAATTTTAGAGTGTGTACTATAAAAATTTTCAATATTTTATTAAGTATCATTGTGCATAAAACAAAGACCCATTCTCTAGAGAATGAAAGAAAATAGAATAAAACAAAATTCGGCACTACGCTGTTGCTTTGCGTTGCAAGTGGGCATGACCATCTTTATCAGCAATTCGTTCCTAAACTTTGAAATATCAATGTGTATATATATATTTTTGTACAAGTGTTTTGAGTGGATTTGACAGCTTTTTTCGGATATAGTCCAACGAGAAGTTATTTGGTAGTTCTAGGATGTGGTCACATAGTATTTTATGTGTTGTAATTGATGGAGAAGATAGAGTTCTTAATTTTGTTTTGAATCATGAGAAACAACTACCACAATGTTTGGTGTTTGATAATTGGTGAGGTACATTACCATGTGATGTTCCTGCACTACCGAATCATTTTTCTAGTTAGACAATCCAATGTAAATGGTGATGGCAGTGTTTTGAGTGGCAAAGGGGATGGTCATTTCCAAGTCAGGCGATGATAATTTTGGAATATAAATTTTACTGATGTTCCATTTGTTTAGACAGTAAATATTTTTTAACCGAAAAAATTCACCTAAAAAATAATGTTTGGTAATTATATTTCAGTATATAAAGTGAAGGTCAAGACTAACATAAGCATAACTTGTACACCGTATCTTTTTTCTTTCAACAATCCTACTTCGTTTCATTAAGAAAAAAAAAAATGAGGTGGTTAGTATGCCTATTACACTTTCTTTTCTTTACCTTACAATATCAACCTGCTTTCTTTTATTTTTCTCAAACAAATCATTTGTGTTCACCAGAACAGAGCTCTGCATTACTCCAATTTGAGCATATGTTCACCAATGGTTCTGCTTCTTGGCTTTGTGATCAGTATGGTCACCTTTCTTATCCGAAAACATTGTCATGGAATGAGACTACTACTGACTGTTGTTCATGGGATGGGATCAAATGCGACCGGATGACTGGTCAAGTGATTGCGCTTGATCTTAGTTGCAGCCAGCTCTATGGCACCATCCTACCGAACAACAGTCTTTTTAGTCTCAGGCACCTCCAGCGACTCAATCTCGCCTTCAATGACTTCACTCAATCAAGAATTTCTCCTAGTTTTGGGCAGCTTTCAAGTTTAACACATCTCAACCTCTCATCCAGTTTCTCTGGATCAATCCCATTAAAAATCTCCCACCTATCGAAATTGGTTTCTCTAGACTTGTTTTCCTATTATCAGTTAGTCAAACTTGAACCATACAATTTTCATGTACTGCTTCAAAACCTTACCCAGTTACAATATCTTCGTCTTGCCCGCGTGAACATATCTTCAATTGTACCCATTTCCTTGATGAATCTGTCTTCTTTGACATATCTAGATCTTGAGCAAACCAGTTTGCAGGAGAAATTGTCAAATAAAATTTTTCACTTGCCAAACTTGGAAGGCTCAACTTAGGTTACAACCCTTATCTCACTGGTTATTTGCCACAGGTAAATTGGAACAGTAGTTGTTCCTTTCAATGTTACAACTCACAGGGACAGCTTTCTCTGGAGGACTACCCAATTCCATTTGCTATCTCAAGTCATTAAAATACTTGTGTCCGACTAATCGGGGTCCATACCTATGTCCCTAGGGAAACTTGTTCAAATTGCTTATTTGGACATATCAGGTAACAATTTTGAAGGCCAAATTTCCAATTCTTTTGCTAACTTGACACAAATGACTTATTTGTGTCTTTCTCACAACAGTTTCAGTGGTCAGGTCTCATCTATATTCTCAAATCCTGAGCAACTCTTTTACTTGGATATTTCATATAACCGTCTTGAAGGCCAAATTCCCAACATTGCCAACCTTTCAAATGTTGCATATTTTACTCTAAGGTGAAACCATTTTATAGGTCAGTTTCCATGTTGGGTAGCCAACTTGACACAACTTGTTTGTTTAAACATTGGGTTAAATGAATTGACTGGTCCGATTGCAGCCAACTTAAGAGGGTTTTCAAACTTAAGATATCTTTGCTCAGCTTATAACAGCAATACTGGGACGCTGCCGATTTGGCTGTATAATCTTCCATCATTGAAGTACTTATCACTTGCTTCTAATGAATTCACAGGTCAAATCTATGAATTCCAAAGTAAGTCATTGAATCATATTAATTGGCGTCGTAACAAGCTACAGGGCCCCATTCCACCATTTTCGACGATCATCAATCTTTTCCTCTCAATCAATACATTCACTGGAGAAATCCCTTCGACAATTTGCAATGTAAGTTTCCTTGAGATACTTGATTTTTCTCATAATAGCTTGAGTGGTGTAATTCCACAATGTTTAGCAAACTTCAGCAATGTACTGAGTGTGTTAGATCTTAGGATGAATAATTTTCACAGAAACATTCCATCCACATTTACTGAGGGAAAAAAGTTGAGGAATATTGATTTAAATGACAATCAATTGGAAGGTAGGGTGCCACGATCCTTGGCAACATGTAGACACTTGGAGGTTCTAGACATCGGAAACAACAAGATAAACGACACATTCCCCTACTGGTTGGAATTTCTTCCAGAGTTGCAAGTCCCAGTCTTTAAATCTAATAAATTCCATGGTCCTGTGGACTCTTCTGTTGACTCCAGCCCACATGGAATAGTTGGAGGTTGGAGGTTGAGCCTCCAAGTCAAGAAGAGAGAAGTTGGCAGTTGGCAGTTTGGCAACCATTAACTCTTTTCTCTTGACTTTGTATTCCCTCAATTGTGTATAAATTGAGGTGAAGAAAAGGGTCTGAGCATCAATGAAAGACACAAAGTGTATGTTTGAGTAAGAGTGCTATAGAGAGAGTGAGGTTTGAGTGTTGTAATTCCCTCCGGGAAAAATTCTATAGTGGATATCTCTCTCGTGGATGTAGGCTATTGCCGAACCACGTAAATCTCTTGTGTTATTGTGTGTGATTGATTTCTGGTGTCCCTTGATCCTAATAAGTGGTATCAGAGCCGAGGTGAGCAAGTTTCAAAAAAACAAACTGTTTTTCTTCAAAACTGAAATTTTCAAGTTGCTCAAAATCATTTTTTGAGCATACCAGGAGGAAAATCTCGTCGAGAGGAGTCCAGACCCAGAAAGCAGAGGCAAAATGGAGGTCGGGATGGACCACACGCGCCGGTCAAAGTGATGCACGTAAATAAAACTTTAAACCATAAACTCACGCGCGGCCAGAGGTTGAAAAGGACACTGTCGTAGCCAACCCATATACTTTAAATATCTTTCTGGGGAAATAACAACACAAGGGCCAGTTTGGCTCAGTGGTTAAAGCTTAAGGCTTTAACACCTTGGTCAGGAGTTCAAATCTTCCAAGCAATATTTGGAGAATTTGAATTTTTTTTTTTTAGTTAGAGCTAACGTCAGCGTCAGATCATCAAACAGCCATCGCCACGGCATAGGCCACCTGGCAGTCAACGTCAACGCTAGTCAACGCCACGTGTCTGCTACGACAGCAGAAACGTACCACTAGAAAGCACGTGTCTGCCACGTCATCTCGCCCAATTGACTAGTTAACCCATCGGAGGAGTGATCTAGTGCTTTGCAGCTAAGGTACACCCGTAGATCTAAACTGTCCAAACTGTTTTGACTTGATCTGAGCCATTTGTGGTTCGATTTTGGCGATCTGATAGTGGTTTTTAACTATTTGGAGCAATCTGGAGAGATTCATACAGTCAGATTTTTGATTCAGAATTTCTGTAAAAAGTAAGAAGACGATGGAAGAATCTACTTCAACTTCGGGATCCATGATCAAGTTGAATCCTTCCAAGACATCCTATATTATAAAGACTTGTTTGACTCTATTGCTCTAAAAGGGGTTAAACCAGAAGAAGTGAAGGATGAATACTGGATAAAGATGAACCGGAAGATTGTTGGTTGTATCAAACAATGGATAGACCACAGTGTGTTCCACCACGTCGCCCAGGAGACAGATGCATATGTCTTCTGGACAATGTTAGAATGAATGTACCAGTCAAAGACCGCCCGAAACAGAGCCTTGGTAATGAGAAGGCTTGTGAATCTGAAGTTGAGGAATGGTGTGTCTATCGCCAAGCACACCAGTGAATTCAAGAATCTGGTGAATCAGCTTGCAACCGTCAAGATGCCCCTGGATGATGAAATGCAAGCCGTACTACTACTCAGTTCTTTACCGGATAACTGGGAAACGTTGGTGTTTTCTCTCAACAACACTGCACCAGAGGGGAAGCTGACCATGAGCATGCTCACAGACGCCATGTACAATGAAGAGACAAGAAGGAAAGACGTGGGATGTAATTAGTCCCATGCTCTTGTCACAGAAGATAGAGGTACAGACAAAGGTAAAGAAAGAGGTAGAGGCAGAGGAAGAAGCAAGAGTAGAGGAAGATGGAATAACATGAGTAAATCCAAAGCCAGTAAAAGTCAAGGTAACTCTAGCTTCACTTGCTTTCACTGTGGCTAGGAGGGTCACATAAAGAGGAACTACCCAAGTCGGAAAGATAAAGGCCAAAGCAATAAGTCAAAGGGAGATGAGAACACGACAGCCACAACAACTGATAAAATACTTCTTGCAGTTGGTGAAAAGGAGGATTGCCTTCACATAGCTAACCACAGTTGTATAGAGTGGGTGATAGACACAGCTACATCCTATCATGTCACTTCTCACAGAGACCTCTTTAGCTCATACAACGCTGGAGATTTTGGCAATGTTCGAATGAGGAATTCTAGCTATTCGAAGATTGTGAGTATTGGAGACATTAGTATTCAGACTAATGCCGAACACAAGTTGGTTCTCAAAGATGTAAGGCATGTTCCAGATTTGCACCTCAATCTTTCTCCGGAAGCGCCCTGGACCGACATGGCTATGCAAGTACATTCGGAAATGGCCGTTGGAAGCTGACAGGAGGAGCTTTGACAATCGTGAGAGGAGAGATGTCTTCAACACTGTACAAGACTCAAACGAAGATCTGTTTGGGAAGTCTTAATGTAGCAAAAGACAAAGAGTCACCAGACTTATGGCACAGAAGACTGGCTCACATGAGTGAGAAGGGATTGCATCTGTTAGTAAAGCAATCCAAGATACCCTTATCCAAAGGGAGTGCCCTGAAGCCATGTGATCATTGCCTTTATGCAAGCTGCATCAAGTATCATTCCGTTCAACGAGCAACAGGAAAACAGAAGTGCTCAGTATGGTATACTCGGATGTTTGTGGCCCAATCAAAGTGGAGTCACTTGGCGGCCGCAAGTATTTTCTAACCTTCATTGATGATGCATCAAGGAAGTTGTGGGTGTATTTCTTGAAGACGAATCATGAAGTATTTCAACACTTTTAGGAGTTCCATGCAATGGTGGAAAGAGAGACCGGAAAAAAGTTAAAGTGCCTTCGCACAAACAATGGTAGCGAGTACACTTCCAGTGCTTTTGAAGCATATTGCGCCAACAGAGGTATCCGGCACGAGACAACAATTCCCGGTACCCCACAACACAATGGTGTGGCAGAAAGGATGAACCGCACTATTATTGAAAGAGTTAGATATATGCTCATAATGGCAAAGTTGCCAAAGTCATTCTAGGCTGAAGCCGCCCGTATAGCCTGTTATCTCATTAACAGGTTGCCTTCAGTCCCGTTGAACTTTGCGATAGCTGAGGAAGTCTGGTCTAGAAGAAAGGTATGATATTCTCACTTGAGAGTCTTCGGGTGCAAGGTGTTCGCACACATCTCCAAGGAAAACAGATAGAAGCTTGATGACAAATCCACTCCATGTGTATTTGTGGGCTATTCAGATGCAGCATTTGGGTACAAGTTGTGGGACCCAGTGAACAAGAAGATGTTCAGGAGCAGAGATGTTGTGTTCCAGGAAGACCAAACAGTAGCAGACCTTGAGAAGTCTGCAAAGTCTAGAGATGTGATCACTCTAGACCTGTTCCCATCTCCTAAGCCATCAAAAAATGCTAGATGTGATGATGTGCAACAAGAAGTGTCAAAGTTGCAGGATCCTATGCCAGAAATTGAGGATCAGAAGGAAGGAGATGAAGACCCGGATGAAGAGGGTGTTGAGCAGGAGGAGCAACCCCCTCAACTAGAGGCAACTGAGCCTCAGTTGCGGAGATCTGAAAGAGCAGTCGTGCTATCAACCAAATATCTCACTTCTCAGTATATTCTGATTACTGATGAGGGGGAGCCCGAGAGTTTTTCAAAAGCAAAGAATCATATAGAGAAAGACTGTTGGATGCAAGCCATGAATGAAGAGATGAGTTCTTTGCAGAAAACCCACACTTATGAGCTTGTTCTACTTCCAAAAGGCAGCAAAGCCTTGAAAAAAAAATGGGTGTACAAATTGAAGAAAGATGGCAATGGTAAAATACTACAGCATAAAGCTCGCTTGGTGGTCAAAGGTTTTGGGCAGAAAAAAAGGAATTGATTTTGATGATATCTTCTCCCCAGTTGTGAAGATGACTTCCATTCTAGTAGCTCTAGGATAGCAGCTTGCTTGAATCTAGAGGTAGAACATATGGATGTCAAAAGTGCCTTTCTCCGTGGTAATTTAGAGGAAGAAATCTACATGGAGCAACCAGAAGGATTTGAAGTTAAAAGGAAACAGATTCTAGTCCGCAAAGTGAAGAAGAGTCTCTACGGCCTAAAGCAGGCGCCGAGACAATGGTACAAGAAGTTTGATTCATTCATGGTGGATCACGAGTACACAAAAACGGTAGCAGACCAGTGTGTATATTTCCAAAGGTTTTCTAATAGAAACTTCATCATCCTACTGTTATATGTCAGTGATATGCTGATCATCAGACATGATATTGCTGAGGATTGTTCGTGACAGGAAAGCCAAGAAGATATGGCTGTCACAGGAGAAATATGTTGAACGGGTGATTGAAAGGTTCAACATGAAAGATGCCAAGCCAGTCAGCACACCACTGACCAACCATTTCAAGGTGACAAAGCGTTCATGTCCCACAACCAACTCTGAAAGGAAAGAAATGGAGGCAATCCCTTATTCTTCGGCAGTAAGGAGCTTGATGTATGCAATGATGTGTACCTGGCCAGATATAACTCACGCAGTTGACGTTGTGAGCATATTTCTCGCCAATCCAGGAAAAGAGCATTGGGAGGCAGTCAAATGGATTCTTTGGTACTTGAAGGGAACTTTAAAGATGTGTCTATGTTTTGGGGCAGCTGAACAAATTTTGGAGGGCTTTACAGATGCCAATATGGCAAGAGATCTTGATAGTAGAAAATCTACATCAGGATTTCTGTTCACTTTTGTATGGGGAGCTGTTTCATGGCAGTCCAAACTACAAAAGTGTGTTACTTTATCTACAACAGAGGAAGAATACATTGTTGCCACAAATGCTGGAAAGGAAATGTTGTGGTTAAAGCAGTTTCTCCAAGAATTGGGTTTACAGCAGGAAGAGTACAAGGTACATTATGATAGTCAGAGAGCAATTGATCTGAGCAAGAATTCCATGTACTATTCCCGCACAAAGCACATTGATGTCCGGTATTATTTTATACAAGAAGTGATGGAAAAACAGCTGATAAAGTTAGTGAAGATTCACACGGACAAGAATCTTTCTGACATGATGACCAAGGTTGTCACCAGAGACAAACTGAAAGTTTGTAAGAATCTGACTGGGATGGACTTCAAGTAAGAAGTCAATTATCCATATGGGCGTGGAGGGGGAGAATTATTAACTCCAGCCCACATGGAGTAGTTGGAGGTTAGAGGTTGAGTCTCCAAGTCAAGAAGAGGGAAGTTGGCAGTTGGCGGTTTGGCAGCCATTAACTCTTTTCTCTTGACTTTGTATTCCCTCAATTGTGTATAAATTAAGGTGAGGAATAGGGTCTAAGCATCAAGGAAAGACACAAAGTGTGTGTTTGAGTGAGAGTGCTATAGAGAGAGTGAGGTTTGAGTGTTGTAATTCCCTCCAGGAAAAATTCTATAGTGGATATCTCTCCCGTGGACGTAGACTTTGCTGAACTACGTGAATCTCTTGTGTTATTGTGTGTGATTGATTTCTGGTGTCCCTTGATCCTAACATCTTCCAAAACTAAACTCCTTTTCCCGAAGCTTCGAATCTTTGACCTCTCTCACAATGAGTTTAGTGGTCTTTTGCCAACAACATATTTCAAGCATTTTAACGCTATGAAGATGGTCGATGAAAAGGTGGAAAGAAAATATATGGGGCAATCCTATTATTCTGATTCAGTGACCATCATGTTGAAGGGGAATGAAGTTGTATTACCAAGAATTCTGACCATCTTCATGGCCATTGACTTATCGCACAACAAATTTAGAGGAGAGATTCCAAATGTCATCCGAAAACTTCATGGACTTCGGGAAATCTATGTTTGCTTGAATCGTTGGACCTCTCTTCAAACCAACTTTCTTGTAACATTCCTAGCCAATTGACAAGTTTGACATTTCTTTGTATGTTAAATTTTTTACAAAATCATCTCCGAGGGTAGCATACCTCGAGGCAACCAATTTGAAACATTTGAAAATAGCTCATACAATGGGAACCTGGCATTATGTGGATTTCCACTGTCGAAGGAATGTGGAGATAGTAAGACATCACAACTGCATCCAACATCTATGTTGCACAAGGAAGATGATCCAACTTTTGCGGGTGAATTTAATTGGAAAGTGGTAGGGATGGGGTACGGATGTGGAATGGTATTGGGTTTGGTAATGGGATATCTTATGGTCTTTATTGGAAAATGGCAGAAGAAAGGGAAAAGGTCATACAAGAGTGGTGACACTGTGGAAGAATAAAGTGGAAAACACAAATGGCATCTCAAGTATGTACCCTTCCTTTACCCTTTCTTTCTTTTTTTTTCTTTGTTACTGTGTTGGATACATAAGAAAGGGATTAGTTTAATCATTTCAATTAATGCAAATTTTTGCCTCAAATTTACTACTGAATTTTCATATAAGCTCACCCAAAGGGGTTATTTTCTATCCACTTTACCCAATGTTCACTATATTTTCTAGGTGATGAAAGAGGAGCCATGCCATCATTTGAAATTGTAGTTTTTGCAGGTAAAGAGAGAAAGAGGCCGAATGTGAAACACTAGGACCATTGCTCTCTCTATCAGGAGTTGTTTCTTATCAAAATATTATGTTCTAGTGAAGTGAATTGTATTTGATGCTTTACGAGTTGTCATAAATTCTTACTTCTATGTTTGAACTTCTTAAAACTTTATATTTTGTTTAAAGTTTAGTTGGAGTGTTGATGTATCATGGCGTGTTCGATGCTCCAAGAAATTATTTTTTACAATTAATAATATTTGGATAAATTATATTCATGGTTCTTGTAATTTGTTACTTGACAATTTGATACCAGTAATTTTAATCGTATCGATTGTGCCTTCTAATTTTTTTGACATTGTGTCAACTTGGTCAAATTAATAACAACCATTTAAAAATTGAATAGAAATCAAGAACATAATGTTTATTCAAAAGAGAATGAATTATTTGAAATTGAACACAAGCCCCTCAATCACTTTGGGCTAGTTTGGCATGTATTAAATAAGTTAAAAAGTCAAAAAGTCACTATCTTATTTAAGTCACATCATCTTATTTAAATCATATCACATCAAATCCAACCCAAACCCAACCCAAACCCACCAATAAGTCAAAAAGTGCACTTTTTTAGGACATCCCAAACCAACCCAGGTGGATGAACTATTTTACTCCTTGATTTCAATCCAATTTCTACAAAGACATTTTCAATTAGATTAAGTTGTTTAAATGTACTAACTTTAAGGGTAGAAATGATACAATTAGAACTGTAAATACCAAATTGGCACAAGTGGTTAAGAGGTTGTTTAGGGTGTCCTAAATAAGTACACTTTTTATCTTTTTAGACTAAAAAATTAAGAGAAAAAAGAAAATTATTAAGGATAAATTTTTATCTTTTTATAAAAAAATATGTAATATAATATTATTACAAATGGTGAAATGACTCGTTTACTCCTCCCAACTGACACACCAGCAGTGTTACCGTTGTTGGGAACCGTGAGTGGTCCACCTTGCACAATTCATACAATGTGCAACGGTAAAGTTAACATAATTTAAAATCTTTTATTCATTTCCTAATTTCAAATACTGTGCAACGGTCATTGGAAACATGTGGTTGAACTTTATTTATTTTTGTTATTCATTATGTTTTGTTTTCATTCTTTCCCTTTTATCATTATTTTTTGTTTTTCCTTATAGTCATTTTTTTTTAATTCTTTTCTTTTTAGCATTTTTGTTTTTATTATTTTCAGTTTTGAAAGAATTTATTTTTTTAATTCTTTTCCTTTTAACATTATTATTTATTTTATTCTTTTCCTTTTTAATTCTTTTTTTTTTCCATTCTTTTCCTTTTAACATTATTTTTTTTTATTCTTTTCCTTTAGTCAATATTATTCTTTTCCTTTTAACATTATTATTTTTTTTATTCTTTTCCTTTTAACATTATTAATTTTTTTATTCTTTTCATTTTTTTATTAAATTTTTTTTCATTCTTTTCGTTTATTTTTTTTTTATTCTTTTCCTTTTTTAGTCAATATTTTTTTTTATTCTTTTCATTTTTTTTTCTTTTCCTTTTAACATTTTTATTTTTTCTTTTATTCTTTTCCTTTTGACATTATTAATTTTAGTTTATTGTTTTCCTTTTTTTTTATCACTTTTTTGTATTCTTCTCCTTTTTTGTGCAAATTTTTTTTTGGATTTTTTTCCTTTTTTATTCATTATTTTTTATTCTTTTCCTTTTAATTTTTTTAAAAAAATTCTTTTCCTTTTTCTTTTATTGTTTTCGTTTTAATAAATTTGTTTTCATTCTTTCGTTTTGTTTTTTTTTTTGGAATTGTTTTCCTTTTTTATTAGCTGGTCATGCACAGTGCTGTTGTAAGTTGTTCAACAATTTTTTTTTATATGTTTGTTTTATTACGAAATTAGATGTTTGAAAATAACTATTTTAGTAAATATCATGTTTGATTAGAAAATTATGAAGAATGTTCACCTTGTTTGGTTTTGATTAAATTTCTGAAATTATTATTTTTTTTTTTTTTGGTATGTGTTTTTTCAAATTTGTTCGACACAGATTTGTTTTTATAGAAGCTACATCTAAAAAACATTTTCAAATGTTATCACACAATTATTGGACATACATCCTTCATGTATTTTATATGTTAATGATTGGACATGCTTCATGTTCAAATAAAATTCGTTCACAATGTAATTTACCGAAGACATCATAATATTAAAACCAAACGTTTTTTAAGAAGATATGATAGTATAAATTTGAATCTCAGTTACACACATTATAAATTTAACCAACATTAATATTTCAAATATTCGTGTTCAGTTACCGTCTTAGTTGGTACGTAATGTTTGCTCGTACAGCTGCCATTGCGGGGTCGGAGTCCCCTTCCTCAATCACATCGGCAACCCGTGCGTATTCATCATGGTCGGGCATTTTGGGGCCACGTATTCGGTGCTATCTAGGATAGCAAGCGTGACCTCATCAATTTACTATTTCGGCGTATGAAGTTATGTAACGCCATTGACGCACATACAAAGGTCACTTGATTAGAGAAACTCAACTTCTGAATATTCCGCAATGCCCCCCACCTCGACTTCCACGCACCGAATGTTCGCTCGATACAACTACGCAATGATGAATGTGCCTTATTGAACAGTTCGAACTCATTCTGTGGTCTTCGATTCCGATGGACATTTTGGTGATACCTATACCCCTTGTATAGGGCTAGGTACCCTGTCATGTTGCTATAGCCGCTATCCACCAAATAGTATTTTCCTGCAACGAACACAAAGACGTTATTTAGAAATTTTAAGTTCGTGCCCATTTGGTTGTCAGTTTGCAGTTTATAACTACAAAACTCAAAATTACTGCCCATAAAACATCGTTCGAAAAGAGTTTTTTGGGTTTGTAAATGGTTGTCACCTATAATAATTTTAGAAAAAACCATAGTGTCAAATCATAAGTTTACATTGTTTTTAAACTGACATTTAAAATTGTTAGTAACAAATATATTTTTTTGAAGTCAGTTATTTTTTTGAAATCATTTTTCAAACAAGTTATTGTTTTTCAATTAATTTTGATTTTCATATACTATATTTTCCACCTACAATTTTATTGGGTGAAATAAATACAAGTGGTCATTCAGTAATTTTTTAGTTTTTTTTTTTTCAAAAAAATAATTTTTCTATTATTGTGTTACTATTTATTTTGTTTTCCAATTTTGTTTTGAAATACTTTTTTTGCCAATACATTGTCTTGTCAAATACAACAACTTTGGAATTACATTTCTGGTTGTTGTAAATAGTAGTTTTAAATATTTTGTTTGGATGTAGAAATTTTTCAAATTAATTTATTTCATCAATTTGTTTATGTACAATTTTTTTTTAAATGATATTGTGTATGTTCGCAGTATCATGTGGACATGTTCGCATTATCACAATTTTTTTAAATATTTAATTTTTTAAACAAAATCAATTACCAACTGTAATTAGTAATTTTATCAATTTTTTTTGCGAGAGCAAGTATGATGTCGTAGTTTGTCTTCTATTATTTTAAAATTATACTACTTTGTTAAATGTTAAATAATTTTTACCAGGTGCGGGGTGCGGGAAGTGATGTTTAGGCTCGGTTGTCACATAGTGCAACACCCTGCTGTCGTGCATGCTCCCGTCCCGACCAGCTGACACAAACGTGAAGCACAAATCGAAGTCGCATACGGCCAGTATGTTCTGTGTTGGGACACCTTTCCGGCCATAGTACGAAGTGGCATACTCTTGTGAGACAGAAGCCATCACGTGCGTGTCGTCTAGTGCACCGATGCAGTCCTACGCAACGCACCATTATGTAGAAAGTATAAATAAAAATTCAAGGTATATGTCGCCACTGTGATATTTAAAATTTTATGGAAATTGTCACCTTGAATGGCTGGTACCGCCGTTGTGATTGTAAATGTGGGTGGCCCCCTTGTTGCAATTGCTCGGGCGTAAGACTCCTGCTATGAACTGATGTGAACGGTATCATAGCTTGCAAAACCTCATAGAAATTGCGTGACAATGTCTCCTTCAAGTGTTGGAACCGTTTTTACAAATCTTTCCAATCCATTCCCTACAATGCACAAATGAAAATGGCTACCTTCTCTTCCAGTGGAACGTCATGCTCCTGCTGTGGCAGTGTCAATCCAAAACTATGAAGCGCGTTGCATAACAACAAGAACACTAGTTTGGACATACTGACAGCATCTTCAAACCGACCTTGGTGGCCATTAAACAACTCATACATCAATAAATGTCCCCAAAGTATTGATGTATTTCGAGGGCTTTATGATAATGATGGTAATAATATATCTACCTGCAGCGTTCAATGCCTATAGCGATCCCGATTTTCTCCGTCATTTGTTGTGTTTCGGACTCGAGTTCCGTAGTTGTGTGTTGTTGTCTGTGTCTTGTTTCCATCCTTTAATTCCTTGTATTTGAGTTTTGGGATGTGTTGGTTGGGATTGGTAACAGGTTGGTTGAGAGTTGAAACAAATAGTTGCTACCCAGAATTCGGCATCTTCGCTCGATCTAGGATTTTTACGCTCGAGCGAGCCTTGTGTATTTTCTTCTTCACTTGAGTGAAGGCTCTTGCGCTCGAGTGAGCTTTCCGTAGTGTGTCTCTTCGCTCGAGCGAGCATTCTTGCACTCAAGCATGCGCATGCATCTCTATTAGACCTGAAGGATGGCATTCTTTGCTCGAGCGAGCT